AGTCAAAGTAGTTAGTAAAGGTAGTCCGAGAGAAGTAAAAAAAGAAAGGAATCACTGGCATCAACACGCCCCCCACGAGTTGTTCAGCGGGGAATGGTGGAAAATAGAAGACGACAGAACAGGTCAGATCAGGTCAGTCAATCGAGGTGTCCCTGATGCAGTGCAGTGTGTGCAAGGAAAAGGTGGCAAGAGAGAGAGAGAGAGAGAGAGAGAGAGAGAGAGAGAGAGAGAGAGAGAGGCAGAGGCGACGAGAAAAGGACGGAAGGGGAGGGGTGGGGGGAGGGCAGAGGTGGAGCAAGTGGTGAAGAAAGCAGGACTAGGCAGCGGCTGGATGTCTGTGCGCTGGGTAGGGTGAATGTGAATCTGAGTGTTTTCCCGGGATCATCTCTCTTGTGGGAGGTACTAAGGTAGGTAGAGTAGATGGTAAGAGTAGACTGGAGGGTAGGACAGCATGCTACTCTAGGTAATTTTAGACTGTCTCTGCTTGTTTGTTCTCTTTTGCTTTCTGGTCTGGCTGGCGGGGACTAGTAGTAGGTACAGGGCACATCATAGTAGTAGACGTTGTGGGTTGCGCATGGCACCGCACATTGGATCGGGAGGAAGCCGTGGCAGGCTGCATCATCATGCAAGCTTGCAGTAAAGTGCCACCAGACCAAGCCAACCCAAGGCAGACAGCCAGACAGCCAGACAGCCAGACAGCCAGATACAGGACACACAACTTGACACTGGATAGATGGCTACCTACACTGGGCACACTGGGGTGAGTGGACCCTCTGCCCGTTGCCTGTCCTGTCCTGTCTCGCGGAGAGGGAGGGGCGCATTGGGCAGATGCAAGTCTCAGCTGTGTGCTGCGCCCGGGCAATTCAACACAACACACCGGGAAGGGCAGCACATCCCATTGTCAGTGTCACGTCCCCCAGACTTGGCCAGCCAGCCAAAGCAGCGAGACATCTGATGACAAGCCAGAACGGACCAGGAGGTGGGTGTGAGGTAGGCTATAGTGGCCAACTACTTACATGCTCCCTCTCTCTCTAGTACCGATAGTACATACAGCATGTACAAGTACCTACTCTCTCCCTACTCGAGTACTCCATGTACTGTGTACATACTGTGCATGCAGACATACATACAAACACAGCCAACCATGTACACACTAACCCAGGCGCGTCTCTGTAGGTACATAGCTAAGGCCAAGGGTACCAACCAGAATGCAGACTACAAGTTTTGGCCCTTGGTTAGGTGAACCCACATGGAACCCTACGGCCTTGCCCAGGCACGCAATCCCTCCACTGGCAAGGTTCTAGAGTGTGTGACCTCATGCTCCTCGCCATCCATGCGCATCTGGGCGGGTCCCGTCAAAAACAACTGTCCCCGGCCTTGACCGCCTCCGCCTCCTCTTGCTCACTCGGTTGCCTCTTGCCTCTTGCAGTCTGCAGCTTTGCACCTTGAACGGCCTCAAAAGCCATCTGTCGCTGCCTGCATAGACTACCGATTTCATCCTCTTCCGCAGCGCCCGCAGCCGGCCAGCCATTCTTTTGTCCCAAACTTTCGTCGACGACGAACCAGATGTGGAGTTAGTCTTCAGACACAAGCCGGGGTGTCCTAGGGCGGTGAAGCTTTCCCCCTCCATCCATGTCTGGCTATTTTTTTTTCTTCCTTTTTTTTTCCTTTGCAACGGACTTTGCCAGACCAAATGTGCGCGGGCAGGCCTCGGCAAACACTGAATTTGCAAGCGGCAGACAAAGAAACTGGCCCGCTCGCATTGCTCTTGGTCGTGGCGTGATGTTGTTTAGTGATGTTGTTGTTGCTATTGCTGCTACTGCTGTAGAGTACTGCTGCTGTTGCTGTTGCTGAAACTACTACCGGTACATGCGCCTGTGTGCCTTGTGGTTCTGCAGTCGTGTTTCACAACCAAGCTCTCTCCAGTTACTCTACCTCTCCACATGCTTTTCGGCGCCTCAGACACACCAAGACGCACGCGACGTGCCACCATTTCCGTTGGCGGGCAGGGAACCTACAGCCGGCTTGTCCTGATGAGGCCAGGCGCAAATGCCATCCAGCTCCCGGTCTGCATGTGCGCCGCAGCGAGCGTCACTTTTCGGTGGGGAACGGAGAGGTAGCGCGCCGAACTAGATCTCATCCTTCTTGTTTCCCCTCCATCCAACGTTCAGAACGAGCATGTGAGAGGAGAGTCGACAAACGTTATATGCGAGAACCCTACTGCTCAAGCTCTCTCCAGCAACACCATGCGACCTAGAGTAGCCACTGCAGCTGATAAGCAAAACGCTAACCTTTCGGTGCTTCCGACCCAAAGTTACACGTCTCTTTTTTCTTTGACTGCCCATGGGAACCTGACTGCAGATCGATGATCGATCTCGCTTGACTTGCTGTTGTTTTCAGCAACTCTGCTAACGGCATACCGAAATCGGTCCATTACCCCTCAACCATCAAAGATCCATGATCAACGTTGACGTCCGTTTCCACCCCAACTCGTCTTCGCCAGATATTGTAGTAGCCCATCACACCAAGTTCCAAGTTCCCACTTCCCACTTCCAAGCACACTCCTGATCATCACTCTGGTGATCCGTGTGTCGTTTCTGGCTGCGGTCATACTGCGGCTGTCCGCAAGTTCATGGGCCTGAAAATGTGGGGAAAGAGTTGTACCAGAACATTTCATCGCCAGAACGGCCACCACGACTTTGATTGTGTGACAGTCCCCTCGGGCTGCGTAGCCTGTGCCCCAGCCGACTGCTCGACTGCGGCTGCCACTTTGTCGGCGAGCTTTTTCCGCATGCCCTTGCGCGGCTTCAACACGAGCCACCACGTGGTGCCCAGGTTGTATCGCTTCATGTTTACGACCTCTAACCCGCTCTCCTCGACAATCTGCCCAATGTCCTTGTTCCACCAACAGCCATGTTCATTCGCGTGTGCAGGCGCTGTCTTGTCCAGTATCTTGTTCAGCCAATCGTAATGCGACTTGCCGTGCTCTAGTAGCAGTATCTGCCCGTCTTCGTTTGTAGACGCTTCAATGTTTTGGAGCAGCTTCACGGGTTCTGGCGTCGAGCAGAGACCCATGGTCTGTATCACTGTATCATAACCTTGTTGGGCGTCCCAAGGTGGTATGATGGGGTCGAGTGCGGATTGCTGCTTGAAGAAGGTGCGGCTAAAGTACTCCTTGTGTGTATCATTCCATTTGCGCTTCGCAACAGCGAGCATAGGCCCGCTTTGGTCGAGCAAGGTGACCGTTGCGCAGTGCTTTGTGTTGTAGTACGGAATGTTCCTGCCTGTACCGACTGCCACCTCCAGCACATGTCCCCTCGCCATTTGCGTGAGCTTCTTGCGTCTCCAGTTGAGGAGCATCGTTTTTTCCGCCAGGCTGACCTTCTCGTCGTAGCCATCGGCTTCCTTGTCGAACCTGTCAGAGAGATCCTCAGCGAGGTCCACGACAGGAACTTCAGTATTCAACGAGACATAGAGCATGACGCCATACATGCCCAGCCCAAAGGCAGCGAGGCTGACGCCAAAGAAAGCTCGTTGCCGCCATTTGTTCACCTTGGCCTGGTGATGTGCTGAGTTGATTTCTTCGTCAGAGAGTTTCTGCAGGTCTGAGAGTCTGGGTCGCGCCTCCCAGGCTTTCCTAATGTTTTCTTGTGGCGTGCGCTCGGGCCGGTGTAGCAATGGCTCGACAGCTGGGCGCTGTGGCTGTCTTTGCTGCTGTTGTTGTTGTTGTTGCCATTGCTGCTGCTGTTGTATGCGTTGTTGTTGCAAGGGCAGTGGCAAGGTCCGCTGCGTAGGCAATGCGGCTGGTTTTGCGGAAAAGGCCTTTGGCGGCTTTGGAAGCTTCGCCATGAAGGGCAATTGGGGCTGTTGGGGCAGGAAGGAGCGCAGGCGGTCGACGTGAAGGTGTAATCTGGGGTTGGGAAGATTCGCGATGTTCGATTGTTTCTGCCTCTTCAATTTTCTACGACCCGATCGTCTGGGATAAGTTACCGGTAACGTTAGTCCATGCTTCCAACTCCACCCCCACTCCCCCACTAAACTCCCCACCGCCGCCTCGAACCACGAGCGACGCGCATTGAACCGCGAATGGCCGTGGCCATGCCCTGTCATCAAGCAACGAGATCGGCGGCATCAGATTTCATCACGCGTGGCAGCAGCTGCAGCATGGACGAAATATTTATACGCTGAGCAGGTAGTCGACGATTTTTGCAGACCGGCCTTTGCGCTCTTTCTTGTAATTCCTAGAAATCTTGTAAATATCTCTTCCTCGTACATATCTGTACCTTTCATCTCCCAATGGCCTCGGCAGCGTCCACAAACACACACTCATCCATCTTGATTGTCGGAAGTGGTGCTTTCGGTCTCTCTACAGCATGGTCGTTGTGCAATAACCCTCGGTATGCCAAAACTACCATCA